CCTTCAAGAACTAGGAACTAACTAAACTAGGAAAGAAGGAAAATGGGGTATAGATAGGAATGGTCTCCAACACTAATGAAAGACAGCCTGTGATAATGAATATTTTTCAAAATGCGCCACACGTTGGACTAGTCTTAAAAGTTATGAGGTACGTTGAATTCAGCCTAAGAAGGGTGACTGTGTAATCTCATATACAGGTAAGCCCACTCAATCTAAAAAGATCGTTCCGTCCACCCAACCGTATGAGACACATGGTTTTCTAAGCCAGGATTCGATCTGTTCTGTAGAGGTGAAGACAAAACTTCGGCCTATTGCACATTCTCCATTTAGCCAGGGTTCTGACCTTTGATGGCTCGATCTAGCATAGCCCGACTAAGGGTGCGTCGTTCGATTCCACAATTTCCTTCCATATTTTTATTCATCTTTCGATGTTCAACGGTGCTTCTGAGTCCTCGAAAACTATTTGTTCCGCTGGATTTGACAAACTTGTGAAACTCAAATAAGGGTTAGGTTTCTGCTGAAAAAAGCTTCGGGCGCGCGGGAGGGAGTCGTATCTGCCTTACCGTCGAGAATTAACAAGCAGGTCTTATCGTTAGTAATGAGGTCATTTTCAAGAAAGAGACCAGTTTAAAGGCGGAGTATACGATGAAAAGAAAGCTCATTGGAAATAAGGGTAGAGGTGGTCAGTGGTGTCAGGATGAAAAAGAAACCATTTGAAACGGCCAGAACCCGAGAAATGGGACCCCTTCCTTGCCCGTTGATTTTCGCATTGATGCGACTCTCATCGTGCTGCCCTCTTCAACACTAATGCTCTCTCTGCTAAACGGCTAGAGGTGATATCGGCTAACCGGCTCAACACGTTATACGTGTGAGTGCTGACAAGCTATGGTACGTATACCATGAAAAGCTGAGTTGGAATGAAATGGTGCCCCGGTAGCGTAACTGGTAGCGCACTTGCCCGGAAAGCGAGAGGTGCGGGTTCTAGTCCCGCCTGGGGCGAAAGTTTTGTTCACAACCCAGCATTCTTGTGAAACATTCGCAAGGCGAACTGCGGCCAAAAACAGCAGTTAACAAACAAAAAAGTCAAATTTTTATGGAATTCAAAGTTTATAACACTTGTCCATATAAATCCCCTCCCCCACCCCGTCGCACCGGCAACGTGAAATGAAAGTAAGAGATGACAAGGAGGGCAAATGCCG